TTTTACTACAAACCAAAAACATCAACCCAACAGTGGCACAAGAGGAAGAATCAGGGATCTTCAAAACCAGTAGGATTCTTCCTCTGAGACCATGAATGCTTGTAAAAAGCTCAATGCANCCGCCCCGCCCCAATGTCCCCCAATCTTTGCTCTCCATCCACCCCACCCAGTCTGTGACAAAAGGCAGTGTGTAGGTGTACATGCAACCATTCGGTATGTGTGTATGTACATGTATGAGTTGTGTGTGTGTGTGTGTGTGTGTGTGTGTGTGTGTCCTCGGGGCGGCTCTCCACACCAGAACAGAGCTGAGCAGCATCTGACCAGCTGTCCCCCTCGCAGCGAGCAGCATGTTGCCCCCGTCTTCTTCTCTTCTCTCCAGCTTTCTCTCACTCTTTTATTCTTCTTTTCATTCCCACACTTGCGCCCCAGCTCTCACACATTGTTCTCTCTCTCTCTCTCTCTCTTTTTGAACATTTTTTTGGATTGTTTCCCTCCCTCTTCTTCCTCATCGTTCACCAGACGCATGTTCCTCAATCTCCTCAGTCTCTCAGTCTTCGCCTGGCGAGGACACACCCACCACTCATTGTCATCGTCCCCTTTCATCTCTTGTTCCTTCTCTTGCTGTTTCTCCCGCTCTCAGTAATGTCACTGTTAAGGTATGGCTCTTTTAACCTCGACTCGTTTTCATCTCTTCCCTCTCGTCTCCCTCCGCTCCCCGTTACCTTGTTCTTTGACTTTGTTCAATAACTCCTCTCTGTCAGCCCCTCCTCCTCTCTTTTCCCTCCACAGTATCAGCTGTCTTTTGTTGCCACACAAAAACCCTTGTCTTCCCGTTTCACTGATTCAGTCATTGTAACCGTGGCGTGACCTCGATACTCTTCCTCCCTGTGTTTCTCCCCCTCTCTCGCCCTCTTTCCTCTCTTTCTGTCAAATATGCCATCCTAAGACTTTACATCTTACCACCTTTATCCCTCACTTCATCTCTTACATGGCATTTAAAATATATCCGCCTTGAAAACGAGTGCAGGAGAGAATAGGAGAGGAGTGGAAGGCAGATCATTCTTTTCTCGGAGAGGAAACAGAAGGATTTGGATGCTGTGTTCATTAGAGAAAGAGCTCAGAACTTGTTCAGTGTATTTTCATCCTAATCGGCTGAACTCATCCCTCTCACTGCTCTCTGACTCCAGTGTTTTCATACACAGAACTTATACATGTATATACTGTATGTACATGCACATATAGAGCAAATTCACCCAGTGAATCAGAAATGCGTCACTTTCACATAATGAAGATTTATCAGCTGCTAGATTTATTCTATAAATGAGTTTAGAGAAATTGCTTTGAAGGGCAATAAAGTGATTATAATTTGGTGTCAAAATTTTGCATTCTGTGCATTTATGTCTCTGCTGGAGGCAAGTCCGCATGTGGACGAATAAATAAGAAAAATTGACAATCATTATTATATGAATCTGCAAGTTTTAGAATAAATAACAATTAATATTTAATACTGTGCAACAAATTCAGCTTTAGTTTCAAAATCCAGAGAGAAAGAAAAAAGAAGTTAACATGCAGTGAAGGTGTTTAACGGTTCATGGTATGATGGTTACCATGGTCATCCTCTGATTCTAACGTGTTAGCATGCTAACATTTAGCAATTAGCACTAAATGCAAAGTACAAAGCAGAGCTGAGGGCGGTGGGAATATCAATCTATAGAATAGTTATTGGATGAACTGATCTGATCTGATGATTACCAAAGTCCTTACGGTTCATCCCTCAGGGGAACATGAATGTGAGTAACAACTTTGCTGGTAATCAATCCAACACTTTTTGAGACTTTTTTCACTCTCTTTCCAAAATGGCCAACCTCATGATGGAGCTGGGGCAGAGGTCAGCATCACTGAAGTCGGTGGGAATCTTCCAGTGGGGACCACGAAATGTCCATCGAGAAGATGTGAAGATGTTTCACAGAATAAGGTCAAAATTTCACCAGCTGATTTTGCAGCAGGACCAAAGTCAGTAGGATTCATCCTCTGGGTACCATGAATATCTGTACTAATTCTCATGGCAGTCAGAGAGGGGATGGCTCATTTGAAATTGGAAAAACTTAAATATTCAACTCTGGGATCTGTCCAGAAATCTTTTAAAGTCTTGGATTATTTTGATTCCATGTATTCTGCTACTGATTAAAATGATCTGCCTGTATTTCCTGTTTCCATAATGAAATTTTGATGTGAATCTTATGAAGATTTTTTTTGTGTGTCTTGGTTTGTTTAATGTATTTAGTGATGATTGTTTATGTTATGTGTGTTTTTGGTTTGTTTTTTTTGGTTTGGAAAAGTTCAATAAAAACATTTGAATAATAATTTTCACAGCAATCAATCCAGTAATTAGTTTTTCAAGGTGTTTTACTACAAACCAAAAACATCAACCCAACAGTGGCACAAGAGGAAGAATCAGGGATCTTCAAAACCAGTAGGATTCTTCCTCTGAGACCATGAATGCTTGTAAAAAGCTCAATGCAAATACATCCAACAGTTGCCGATCTATTTCAGTCTGGAGGAAAGTGTCGGACCCACCGAGCGGACAGACGTTTCCAGCCACAGAGACGGCTACTGTAGAACTACGACAATATACAATCTATTTCTAGGGAACATTCAAACTGCTTTTGCTTTAGACTTTCAGTTTAAATGGAAGTCTGTTGAAGTCTCTTGGATGAGACCCAAAGTTGAAATCATAGAGGAGAAGAAGAAGAGTTTGGCAACCATCAAACACCTCTGAAAAGTTTCTTTACTCTAAGCTGTGAAGTGATAAACATTTTATCTACATTTACACCCATCTGTCCACCATGCTGTCTGTCTGTCTGTCTGTCTGTCTGTCTGTCTGTCTGTCTGTCTGTCTCTTCCGCCCCCCCGTCTCTGTTCTTCCTCACTGTCTCTCCTCTCTCTCTCTCTCTCTCTCTGTCTCTCTCCGTCTAAGTGGCCTAGAGGATTAAAAGTGTTTAATTAAGAGGTGATTATGTGTCGACGGCTGACGCAGCAGGATCAGGATAGCTTCATCCCATCGCCCCCGACTGTCATCACCCTGTACCCCATTCATCCCCAACACACACACACACACACACACACACACACTTTCTCCTCCGTATGTCCGCCTTGTTTATCCCTTATTTAACACCTCTCTCACTCCTCCTCCTGTTATTTCCTTGCTTCTTTAATTTTTGTTTTTATAGGTTATCCTTTGTGATGCTGTATTTGATCTTCACTGATTTAAAGCTCAAGGTTGATGTTATTTATTAATATATTTAATTATCTCACATACAACAAGTATTAACTCTACTGTATGTACTGAAACACGTGTGCATGGCGCAGGAAGGTTGATTAGATAATGATGTTGAAGATTATAAAAAAAAACAAAACAAGACAAAGCAATGTGAAAAAGGCAGAGGAGGTAAAAAAAAAAAAGGGATGGGGGGTTTAATAGCAAGAGAAGAAGTGGAGGGAGCGAGGGAAACAACAGAGTGATAATAAGCTCAGTACAGGGTGAAAAAGAGGCCAAAAAACTTGTTTATTGCAGCGGTGGGAAGATGAAAGTAAAGGGATACGCCTCAGCAATTTCCTTTTGTCTGTATGTGCGGATAAATGTTGCATGTATAAGTGTGTGTGTGTGTGTGTTTGTGTGTGTGTTTGACAGTGTGAAATAAAAAATAAATAAAACTTTTACACTTGAATGATTTATTCATGAACTACAGCATGTGCAGGATGTGGTGTCTTTGTCGGTGTCAGTGCTTTTGAGTCATGTTAATTGATATCAAGTGGCTTCCTGGATTCCTCATGTGGTCTACAATAAAGACAGTAACACACCTGGTCTACCTGGTTACAGACACACCTGGCTCGAATCTTTTTCTGCTGCGTGTGACGACGAGGACAGACCTGCGAGGCAACCGGGACCTTTGTCCTTTACAACTCGCCATTACTCTTGTCACAAACGAGCCCTCAGGAAATATGCCCACTAATATGAGTCTCAATCCACTGAAGAAGCACGGGGTTACATTCAGCATGTGTGTGTGTGTGTGTGTGTGTGTGTGTGTGTGTGTGCGTGTGTGCGTGTGCGTGTGTGTGTGTGCGTGTGTGTGTGTGCGTGTGGGTGTGTGTGTGGGTGTGTGTGTG